ATTTTTCTCATGAAATGGGCTGAGGGCCGGTAAAAATAATAGGATAATAGTATAATAATATAGATATCTTTTTAATGGGTAAATTAAAGTGTGCACGGTGTTTAAAGCTGACATTAGAAACTATGTTTGACATCAAAGAATTAATGTGTCACTAACATGAAACATTTTCTAATCATAAAAAGTGAAATTTTTCAACAGCCCAATTTGCTTCCAAGCATTCGGCCCAATAGAGACTCCGGATACTCATCAAAGTAAACAAGAATAAGAACGCATGAACCTTTTCTCATCGGTGGAAATTTATTTTCAGCTGTCTGGGATATCCGTGTTATTTACTGTGACTAAAAACTGATTCTGACTATTCTTTTGTCCCACATGTTTCTTCATCCTGTTTGGCTGATGAGCAAACGCACACACAATGTTATCGAAACCAGAGTACTGGAGGGATGCCCAAAAATCACAATAGTAGGTTGCCTTGTTAGTACAATAAGCATTACACCCATAGTCACAAGCTGTGCTCAATTATTGTTAAATATTTCATCAAGCCTATATTTATAATCTTGTCATCATTGTCACTTCGGAGTCATTGCTAGAAATGTTCCCGACAGGCCTGGACTTGCAGAGCATTTAGGAAAAGCCTGCTCTTCCACCAGCACTTTATAACGTGTTAACATTCCTTCACCAGTTGGAGTTTCAACTCAACTCAAAAGACTTCCTGTTGCATGGTGCCATATAGCGCTGAATACATCCCCCTTCATTCCCTGTTCCCAACGTACAAGCATTCCTCAGTCATTACAAATGGATGCTGGTCTGTTTGGTTTTTAAAGCAAAACAGGCCTGGCAGTTAATACATACACACCGCCATGCTTGTCGCTAACGTTTGCGCATTCCTCCCGGAGATGGTGGACGGCGCCCACGCATCATGAGATACTGCATGGTAGAAGAGACAGAAAACAAAGATATTTTGTTGATAGTAAACAGAAAAGAGTTATAAAATATATCATCTTTTACAGTAGGATGTCGAGAATAACGTTCCTTTTTGTGGGTATTTTCAAAAGTGTTGAAGGTGAGAAATGTAAATTATAGGATAATTATAGTTAGCTGGAAAAGCTCCTCGACTCTTGTAAATTACAGTATACAAAAGAACTTCAACTTGGCGCCAGAGGTGTAAAACTTCAAGAAATTCAAATGATGTCAATGGAAACATCTTTGTAACCTGAAGCAAAAAGCCTGTGACTCAGTTTTCTCCGTGACCTTTGCCTTGCAGCAGACACAGAGGGAAGGTGGGTTGTATTGGAACTAAAGCAATTAGTCAATTAAATGAATGGTTCAACAGAAATTTTGGCAGAATTGTGTACATCATTCTTTTAACCAAAAAATGGCAGAAATTCAGTAGTTGCAGCATGTGAAATATGTTAATACTGTCTGCAGAATGTTTTCTATCATGTGCCCACTGCATCACGTTTTCTCCACTGGAAGGTGCACCCTGGAGGGCCCTTCTATTCCATCCACGCATCCATCCACACATCAGCCTGTTAATCTATTCATTCATCCTCAGGGCCTTTCAAAGCTGTCTCACAGGGACACACACAGGTGGCAGTGAACAGGTCTGTCCACTATGCAGGATGACCTGATGCCCTGAGGAAGGGACACACCTTTACTTGCAAAGACTTCTGACCCAGTAGGGACTAAAGACCATAACAAAACTCCTGCAACTTAAAATTAAATATTTACCAAGAGGGATGATACATAGTCATAATTGTTTAGTAGCAACAGAGTGAGGGTATGATAATTGTTCAAAAAAGATACTTTGCGGAGCATTTGTATATTTAATGACATAAAAGCACATTAGATGTAATTTCTTGATGTTTGTCAATTGTATTAGAAAAAACATGAGAGACTTTGACAAGGGATTTTTTTGTTTCTCATTGTAATGCAGGGCATTGAATCATTGCCTTGCATTATGTTGAATCCATCATGAACATGTCTTTATTGATAATAAACAATAAAATGATACTGAAGTGACAATAAAATAAAATGATATCAGTATGTGGATGATGCTTTAGGAGTTTGTGTGTGTGTGTGTGTGTGTGTGTGTGTGTGTGTGTGTGTGTGTGT